AGTAGCAAAAGGTAAACAATGTAGTATGTTGACTTCCGTACAAAATACTAATTCACTACAACTAAACAAATTGCCAAAAGAACACAAGCAGCCAAATAAAGTTTGTGTTTATTGAAAATGAAAATACTATGAAAACTGTAACAAGGTGAAAAAAAGTTTTTGAGAAATAAAAATGATAGCATTTGTGAGGCATAATGAGCCGTATGTTGATGTAAATTTTGTATTCAAATATGTTTAAATTACAAAAAAAACATGTAAATGTTGACAGTCGTCATTTAAAATATTTTATGAGATGCTTTTTCTCTAGAATTTATCCGTTTGATGTATATAATACAATAATTGAATGATCAATTTTCACCGAAATATTCGTACAATGACTGTTTTATTATATGACCAAATTCAAATTCTTCATGTGCTAATTTTTCAAAGTTGTCCGATTTCCAAGCTCTAAAAATGGACAGAAAAGGCAGAAGTTGATGTCCTAGTTTTGGCATTCGAATTCCATTTTAAAGCTGGTAAATGTTTATAAGAAAGTGCAACAAAAGGCCATTTTAGTTTATCCTTGTATTTTTAGAAAATTAGAATGATGTCCGAGTCTGTAATTTACAAAAAATGTATGTTTAACGTAAAATTGCTTTTGATTGGCCGTCTAGTATTTACATGTAGGGGCCTATATAACGTAAAATAACTAACGATTTGTTTCTAATAGACGGTTAAATTTAGAGCCACTTTATGATAAACAAAATTACCATGTAATTATTCTTTTCTATTGACCATTAAACTTGGTAGCCATATAATATCAGGGATTAGTCTACACAAAAAGATGATTTATACAATATAGCACAATTATACACTTTGCCCTTAAAATAATTGCTAAAAAGAAATGCATATTGATCTTCATATATTAAAGAAAAGTCAACAAATGTTAAAATGGCAGTGTTAGCGCAAGTGATCTGTGTCCTCAAAATAGAGAAAAAAAAAGAATCCCTAAAGAAAGCCCAACACGACAAAATTGAAAATATTGCAGGCTCGGTTTGATTGAGCCTGTTCGTGGACGGTACTGTCAAGTGCAAACTACCGTCAACGCCCCCTTGCACCGGCTTAAGCAGAATGTAACATTTAACATGAATTGGTACAATTTTGAATTTTAAAACATCTGCAGATGGAACCTTCAATGTGACACGTAAGTGCCATTCCATGGAAAGCGGCATGTGGTCCCTCAAGTCCGCCACAAGCACAAGCTGCTTTGTTCTTTATGTTCTTGGAGTAAATATATGTTCCTTAAGTGAGCTACAGAAATGCGAAGATTTGTGTGTTGAATATCTGTCTCTCTGTTTCCTATAAAGTAAAAACAGGATGTTTTAAATATGTGCTCTTGTAGCTAGTTTAAAAGCCGATATAAAAGGGGCATTTTTTTATATTAGACGGAAGTGAGATCAAAGAAAATTACCGTTAACGATAATTTGATAAGGTAGACACCACGAAACATGCAAACATTCAAAGGTCCAAATTGATCTAGAAGTCATGTTAGTAAGGAGATTGTTGCCTCCAGATTAATATTTCCAGACCTTACGCTTAAATTAGTGAGGTAGACCCATTTTATAACGTAGAAGCAGTAATACCTGGTATCTTGATCGAGAAATTGCTAATAACTGTACAGACAGTAAGTGAAAAATCCTTTACATATACATATGTACATGTACCAAAGTCCCACCAAAGTTATCCATATCTCGATCTCGTCTAAATTGAACATGAAAGTTTTTGACATATAGGTCATCAGTGAAAGTACGATGGTCAAACTAAGTGTCGTTTAGGGCTTTAATATCAAAACAATTACTTCAGAATAGAGAACCTCGGATTTTTTGTTTATACTTTGAAATATTATATTTGACACTGGACAAATGGCAGAGTAGACAATTAATTCTAATTTTTGTTTATCTAAATGACTGTGTGCTGATTGGAATAAAAATGAATTGTGTACCTAATATTAGACATTTTGAGACTTTCTTTATTTCATTATTCTTTTTGGTATGATACTGAGGTCTTACTTTAACTGACCTTCGGTCTTTACTAGTCGCTAGTCTTCCATGGCTGGCGAAAACCGCGTCCAGCGGTTTGTTATTAGTAAATTTGCATATTAATAATATACGAATATTTGAAATATAAATGAGAAAAGGTTGTTAAAATAGATTGACCATATATTTAAGTAACACATGTTGATGTAAAAAGCGAACGAAGATAGTTGACTGCTAGTGTGTCCTTCTGCAAAAACGAAGTTGATATATGGTAATTTTACAGTCTCGCTTCGTGACTTGAATAAAGATAAGCTAAATTTCATGATTTTAATAAAGATATGATAGAATATATAGAGATGACACGGATTGTATATTTAAAATCAAATATGATAGTGTCTGACACAAAGTAGGGAACGGTTTTGGTATTGATATAAAGAAGACTAAGGTTATGAACTTCGTTTCATTTAAAGAAATGGTTGTTCGAGTTATGTATTCGAGTGTTTACGAATTTGACAAACGCTGTGCAATAAGTACTACTGTAGACAGATAGGTCTACATCGTTAAATAATTTTAATTGGTAATATTTGAATTAATTTTGTACTAAAAAATGTACATTTACACTAACATTTATTTAAGGGACACTAAATAAAACAAAAGCAATATTCGATATAAACAACATCGGAAAATTAAGTATTAATTTAAACTTTTATTTTTCGCCGTTTCAAAAGTTATACATACGTAGTTATTCTGCATTTACTTGTAAAAAATGTCTACATATATCTAAATAAAGTATTATTTATACGTCTGTCAGTGTAACGGCGCTTAGATTATTTTGATTTTTCTTTGCTTTTAGCATGTAAATTTTTTTTTTTTTTGTTTTTTCATTGGTAATATTTAAGACAAAATAATGATGATCTAAACATGGCAAAATTAAAAATGAGCCGCGTCATGACACCAACATAGTGCGTTTGCGACCAGCATGGACTCAGACCAGCCTGCACATCTGCGCAGTCTGATCAGGACCCATGCTGTTCGCTATCAGTTTCTCTACTTGTAATAGGGTTTGTAAGCGAACAGCATGGATCATGATCAGACTGAGCGGATGCGCAGGCTGGTCTGGATCCATGCTGATCGCAAACCCATTATGTTTGTTTTGTCGTTTTGCAGTACATTTTTCACAATATTGATTTTTTGAAATATTTTGGCTCATCTGGAGGCGTGAAGCTTTATGCCGGTGCAAGGGGCAAGAACGGTAGTTTTTCATTTACCAAATAGTATCAAAATGTTAATTTTGTTATTTTGGGAGTTCTTCAATGATTCACATAGATCTATTTTACATGACCCTTCGAGATCACCAAATCAAATTATCTTTTATGGTTCAAAAATGAGCAGTGCTTAAGACGTAATAAAACACACCACCGAAAATAAAATGACCTATAAAATTAAATATTACCCATAAATAATAAATGCATTAGAAGGATAAAACATTCAAAAAGTCTAAATTTTATGTTCTTTTTACAGTGTCAGCTCAATATAAACGTTTAAGCAAATATTCATTAATGGGAAGAAATCTGATCGATGGCGGTATCGTTCGAAATAACAAAATCCTCTGCAAATATTTGCCAAAAACAAGTTGAAAAATAAAAATTTATTTCAATTTGTATGACAAACATTGTCAAAGTGCATGTCACAGTTCACTGCTTAAATAGTGTCAAACATGTATAACCATGCCTATTTTAAAGATATAATTGTCCACTGATTTTACATATAAGCTTGTTAGTTTAAAACACATTTAAACTGAAGGACATCTACTCAGCAGTCATACATACTATGGTAAGCTTTTAATATTTTTTTATTCTGTAACAGATCATAACATAACAATGCAATTAACTATTTTTAACTTCGGTTATACTAAACTCTTATTCCATGTAAGCATCCTTTTTTATTGGATTGCAAATTGACTTTTTTCATGATTAAATAGTCATTTTAACGTAAAAAAATGGGGAAAAATAAGAATCAAAATGATCTGCTTTTATTGTCTTTATCCTTTTAATCTTTCAGATGTTTTTTTATCTTTTAGTTTTTTTTAGACATCTGAACGAGTAGTCTCTGTTTTCATTTAAAAGTCACTACATATTGTTTTAAGGTATAATACGTTTCCTCCAACTACCTTAACGAAAAGTTTACTGATTTCTTATTCTTGTTGCTTATATTGTGTTGTTGTTGTTTTTTTTTTTGTTTTTTTTTAAGAAATTATGTAAGTGCATCAGGTAAATGTATTACTAGCATCGTAAAGTTATCTTAAAGAAATTGAATGAGAAAAAGATATAAATATGTCCAAACTAAATCTATCTCTAGATTAAGCAAAGACTTAACAATGCTAGCATTTCACTGTTGTCTTTTACTCCTAAATTTCTTGAAAATTAAAATTTTGTTTTATGTCTTTGCATCAGCGATTTTAAGGTACTGGGTGGTGCCCGTGAAAGTTTCCCCGTAATTCATTTCAACTTTAACCGGTGCAAGGGTGACACGGGCTTTGCTGAAATGAAAAGTTAAATATAAAGGCAAACATAAGTTTGCACTTTTTATTTATTTGATTGTTATATTTTTGTACTTGAAGGATTTTCTTTCTTATGAATGTACAGGATAGTCTTGTAATTTTGTCATAAACAATTCTTGACAAATAAAGTCAAAGAATAACGATTAATTTGCATTTTTGCATATAAATTCTTTCTGGAAACTTTACTGACCTAGGCTAAAAAATCGGATTCAAAAATGACAAAACTAAAAAGTTAATTGAGCCAGAAGGTACTCAATGGTTTTGTACACGCTTAATTTCAACTCTATTAAAATCAAAACACATGTTTATTATTGGTTATGGACCAGCCACAACGAATATTTTTTTTTATCAAAACTTAATTCATACAAAATTTCAAACCCATGTGTTATTTATATTTATGTTTTTAAAAATTAAGAAAGAATCTGTGCGGATAAACGAACCTCGTCTACGAAGTTACAACAACACTGGTTACGATGGCAATTTCGATGACATTCGACATGAACACAACATCAATACACTACGTGATGATTATGGAGCACATGGACCGGAAGTGAAAAGAAAAGACGAAGAACATGGTACAAACTGGAAAAAAGTTGCTTTGATTTCGACCACCTTACTTGTTATTCTGGTGATAGCGGGTGCTGCTGTGGGAATATTCTATGCTCTTAGAAATACTTCAGGTAAAAAGAAGATGATTAAATCTTTAGACAAGAACTGTGTCTCAATAAATTAAATTATATATTTTCCTGTCCGGTATGAAGAACTAAATGTTTTAGAAAAATTACAAAATGTATCAATATTAAATAATATTACATAATAAAGTTCATATTGTACCTGAAAGAAATAAAGGAGTTTCCTTTTTTATTTGTTTGAAAACAAAACACAATTTTTCTAATACCTGAAAATGAATTATAGGTGAGAACCGATTTATTTAAGCCAGTAAATGCAGAGCAAATGACAGAGTATACAACAGCATATCAAAGATCCTGTAACACATTTTTTATAGTTTGATATCTTAAATATGATGCACAAATTAAGATTTATCAATTTTGTAAGTTCCCAAAAGCATTTTTATAAAGATATTACCGAATTTAACATTTCATGTAAATAAAGGGGTGATAAAAAATTTGTATGTCATATATTTTAATGATTACATATAATATGAAAAAAATATTTGCAGTACATATTTTACATATTTTTCGATATTTGAAAATTGTTTTATAAGCATAATTATATGCATATATATAATTTCATTTAAGTGTGGTATACAACATCAATTACAACATAAAGGATCGTTAACTTGGCCATTTCATAAAGTAGAATAAAATAATTTATATATTATTTTTCAGACAGTGGCAGTACGTCACCTATCGGTAAGATTATAAAATCATTTTTTAACAAACAGATATTTATTTCATCGATGAAATGTAAAATTAATTAAAGTGTATTAGAAAGATAATTATTTTATAAATGAAATGTAAAGTTAAAATTTATCAAATATTTGACATGGTAATATAAAAAAGTGTAGAGTAAAAGTTTGGACATTACCCTTTTGAAATGTTTAAAAGTTCACCCAACCTTTCAACTTATCGGTGAAATGTAAGTCACAAGTTCGACGATGTATTTAAATTAGGTGTTAAAAGTAAATGTATTTTTATAGATAAGCCAGTCATACTGGATTTTATAGTAATACGAGTGTCAAACAAATATTTGGAAGAAAATTCCTATTCTTCTCATTTGTAAAGTTGTCTTTTTTTTCGGTGATTCGACACCATCTAGCACTTGAGCGAAGTAAACTTAATTAAAAAATAGGTTGTGTACATTTAACAAATGTAAGCCATCTTTAGGGATGGGATGGTGTGTGATTTTAAGAAATTTCGAGTAGAATTTCTATTTGAAAATATGTCGTCAACTGATATATATATAAAGAACTTTTATAAATTTCAGTTAACTTTAAATCATTGTCCTTGACATAGATTTCTGGTGAACGAACTGTCGGTTGACAATCTTTGTACAATTAGTAAAAACATCTTAAATATCAAAGAGTACTTTCAATGTTTATACAATATTTATTAAAAAAAAAAGTATGCGAAATGTGTTCAAGATGTTGTTGATGATCAAATATTTGCGTACATCATTATACAAGTATCATAATTTGAATTGTTTTACCGTTTAAGAGAGACCAGAAGTGTCAACCTCATCAAATTCCGCGTCAACGACACGTACATTACCCTCGCCAACTTCAACAAGAAGGACAACATCTTCAACTACACCTACTTCGGCAACGCTTAGATCTTCCTCAATATCAGTAAGCCATTCCCCGACAACTTCAGAAACAACTGAAACAACAAAATCAACATCAAGCAGAACATCCTTCTCAACATTGAGTCCTCCGCCCGAAACATCGATACAAACAAGTTCAACAACTTCAAGTTCAACATCGACACCCAATTTTAAGGGTATACAAATTCATTAGGCATAGAATATTTTTTGTCACTGAAACTAGAAGAAATCAACAATTTAAACTTGCACACCATATTATTATTCTCATTTAATTATTTTATTATATGTCACATTTTCTTCCTGACCGCCCTTTATAAAGTCAAGATTTAAGTGTCGAAATAAGTTCTTTACAGTTCTTATACAGTTTGATAAGTTATTTATTCAGCATTCAATTTTTCGTATTTAAACACAGACTTTTTTTCCTTACCCTAAACTTTTACATGAAGAAGCTCAATGAATCCTTGCAGGCAGCCTTTTCAATTTTTCCGTTTTGGGTGTTCTATAACGTTTTCATTTTTTCATTGTGTAATGTCTCAATGTCTCATTAAATTCCATATGCAGACGTTTTAATTGCAATGGCTGAATCAGGTTATTTCAAATTAAGACTAAAGCGAATGATATACTAGTATTACATTGCATTGTTATCTATGTTTAACATGATATGTCTGCATTTTTGCATTTTTGTCATCCGCAATGCCATAATCACATGTAAATGTGCAAAATTTTAGCCTAGAAATATGAAATAATTACTTAAATAACTGTCCTTTTAAAACGCCTACACGTTTATCTTATTATGGATTAAGGTCTAAATAATATTTACAGACATTTGTCGTATGTGTTTTACAAAATCAATTACATCTTTGCAGAATGTCACGATGGTGAATTCAAGTGTTTAATACACGAAGAATGTATACCTGAAATGAAACGTTGTGATGGAACAAAAGATTGTGAAGATAACAGTGATGAGTGGTATGAGTGTGGAATTACACAACGACACTGGCTCCCTTTAGGTAAAATCTGAGTTTACTTACCGTGCATTCAATGATTTAACGACACTGGCTCCCTTTAGGTAAATCTGTGTTTACTGACCGTACATTCAATGATTTAACGACACTGGCTCCCTTTAGGTAAATCTGTGTTTACTTACCGTACATTCAATGATTTAACGACACTGGCTCCCTTTAGGTAAATCTGTGTTTACTTACCGTACATTCAATGATTTAACGACACTGGCTCCCTTAAGTAATTCTGTGTTTATTTACCGTACATTCAATGATTTAACGACACTGGCTCCCTTTAGGTAAATCTGTGTTTACTTACCGTACATTCAATAATTTAACGACACTGGCTCCCTTTAGGTAAATCTGAGTTAACTTACCGTAACATTCAATGATTTAACGACACTGGCTCCCTTTAGGTAAATCTGTGTTTACTTACCGTACATTCAATGATTTAACGACACTGGCTCCCTTTAGGTAAATCAGTGTTTACTTTCCGTACATTCAATGATTTAACGACACTGGCTCCCTTTAGGTAAACTAGTGTTTACTTACCGTACATTCAATGATTTAACGACACTGGCTCCCTTTAGGTAAATCAGAGTTTACTCACCGTACATTCAATGATTTAACGACACTGGCTCCCTTTAGGTAAATCAGTGTTTACTTACCGTACATTCAATGATTTAACGACACTGGCTCCCTTTAGGTAAATCAGTGTTTACTTACCGTACATTCAATGATTTAACGACACTGGCTCCCTTTAGGTAAATCAGAGTTTACTCACCGTACATTCAATGATTTAACGACCCTGGCTCCCTTTAGGTAAATCAGTGTTTACTTACCGTACATTCAATGATTTAACGACACTGGCTCCCTTTAGGTAAATCAGTATTTACTCACCGTACATTCAATGCTTTAACGACCCTGGCTCCCTTTAGGTAAATTAGTGTTTACTCACCATACATTCAATGATTTAACGACACTGGCTCCCTTTAGGTAAATCAGTGTTTACTCACCATACATTCAATGATTTAACGACCCTTACTTTCTATATGTAAATCATATTCAAAATTCAAGTAATTGCACATACGAGTTCTTTGAGATTTCACATATAAAAGTTCATCCTCCTTGTTTTTAGCGTCATCTTTATACATTTCGGTAATTTCACTTTGTGCTTGACCAAGGGTAAATTCTAGAGCATCTGAATTAGTAAATACAAACGATGTTTATTTTATTCGAAAAACATTTAATTATTTTGAATAATAGCTTTTAGTAAAACTTCTTAGGTTTAAATTATTACTTTAGATTTGGAGGTAAGGCTGATGTATAATGAAGAGGAATCAGTGAAAAGAGGGCGAGTTGAAGTAAGGAGACGTGGATTTAACGAAGACTTTGGAACGGTTTGTGGTGAGGGTTGGACAACAGAAGATGCCGCTGTTGTATGTAGGATGTTGAATCAACAGTAAGATGTCTTTTAACATTTTCAAAAGTAAAGTATGAATTAACAAATTATTTGTATGAACACATTTGTTCTGTCATTTATATTTCCAACATATTTGTATGATAAAACTGGAACATGGCACTAGGTTACTTTTGTCATTATATGTGGTGTGTTTAGTGATTCATTCAAAAACATAAAAAAATAAAACAAAAAGGACAGGGAAATAATAAATAAAGTATGAACAACTTAGCGTTATTACCAGTAATGGATAATGCCTAGTACTCTTTAGAATTTTACCAAAAAAGAGAACATAAGAATCCCTAAAGAAAGTCCAAAACGGCAAAATTACAAAATGTTGCAGGCTCGGTTTGATTGAGCCTGTTCATGGACGGTACTGTAAAGTGCAAACTACCGTCTACGCCACCTAGCACTGGCTTAAGCATAATGGTAATGGTGAAATTTGAATTTAGAAACATCCGCAGATGTGTGCACACGGCGGTTATCTTGGAACTTTCAATGTGACACTTCCATGCCAATCCATGAAAAGCTGCGTATGGTCCCCAAGTAAAGAATGCGTGTGCCCTAAACGAGAAAACAATGGGCAGAACTAAATAAAAATAAATAAAAATTTACATTTGCTTGATTTGAACAGTTTTATATTCTATTGACAACGTTAGCTTTTTTAAAAATGTTCTGAAACGAGATTCCCCAAAAACAACGACGACAAAAAATAAAAGATGGAAAATGCAGACTCAGACTGTACGATTAGCCACCAGTAATATATTTAGATATTCTTTTAGCAGGTAAAAGTGAGTTACTTTTTTCTGTAGATTTGTTGGCAACGCTTACGCATACAATTCTGCTGTTTTCGGAGAAGGAGGCGGAGACATATCAATGTCGAATGTCGGCTGTAATGGTAACGAAAGTAACCTAGGAGATTGCAAGTCACGTGGTTTTGGCTACGGTTTGGTTCATTGCTCACATGCGCAGGATGCCGGTGTCACATGTGGTTAGTATAAGCGTGAAAAAGCAAGAACGAATTAATGAGATCCTGACGGGTTGTGTATTTCGGAAAACGTCCTATCACATAACTTCTTTTGCAAAAAAATAATTGATGTCCTTTAACATACGAAATTGATAAATGAAATTTGAAATCTGGCAAAATATATATTATAACAAATGCGTGAACTAATGAATGGACATTGTTTTTTTTTAAGACGGATCTCAAGTCATAACGAGCCCACCACCACAAATACAGGGTCCTGAGTGTAAGTAATATTTGTTAATCTATTGTTAATTATTGTCATTTAACGTGAAGTTATAAAGAATGATCATATAGTTTGATTTATTGAGAACCAACAAAAATTTGAAACATCCGCAGATGTCTTCATTTGGCGGTTATCATGAAACCTTCAATGTGACACGTTAGTGCCATTCCATGAAAAGCGGCAAATGGTCCTCAAATGAAATATTGCGTGTGCCCTAGATGACAAAACAATGGATGAACCTAAATAAAATATAGTTTAAAAAGGGATCAGAGGTTATGAAGTCTGCAAACCACAGCTAGGCTGTCAAAAGACAAAAATATAAAGCACTCAACACACCATAGAGTGATTAAATAGTATTCAAGTGAGGAATACAGGAGCCATCCGCATAAAAACACACCATGGGAAAGAACTAAAAGTACAAAAACATGCACTAACAACAATAATGTCATGCTGAACGATTCTCAAGGATGAAAAATATAGCAACTTTAATCAAATGTATGGGGAGAATTTTAACAGATGCCACACGGGACAAATAACACTGATGTGACACTAAAATAGAGAAAAATCAAAACAAGACCTTTAACATTGAAAAACGAACAAAACAAAAACAAAACACAATATTACCATTACATTGACTGATGTGTAATTTCTTATTAGAACGTATTATATTTAATAATATTCATTTTGTCCCGTTTTAAACCTCCTTTTATGTTTCACGCGTTCCGATGAAAACACAAACAATCCTACTCTCCTTCTTCCCGTCTATAAGATACTTTTGCTAACGAAATATAATTTTTTTACAAAGCTGATGTTCGTCTCATAAGAGGCTCAAGCTGTTTATCAGGTCTGCTTCAAGTTTATCACAAAGAAGAATGGCGATTCGTATGCAATACTAATTTTGGAAGTCCCGATGCCACGGTTGTATGCAGAACGCTCGGATTTAAGTAACCCTTGCTTTTATTTATACTGAACAAGATAAAAAAAATTAAATTCACAGTTACTAAATTAATTTTTTTTCTTCTGGTATTTACATATAAAAAAAGAATTAAAAAAACTTTTAAATCATGATAGTTGAAAATTTCTTCTTTTTAATTTTAAAGTATATTTGTAGTAAATATGCCCAGAATCACCATTAGTATAGCCTGTCATAGATTGTTCACTGTTTTTGTCCACTTCGAATGAGCCATCGTACGTACAAATATATATGAATAATTTGATTTTCTTACAGTGCAGGAAAAGGTTATCTTGATTATTTCGGATATTTTGGATTTGGTGATGGGCTTTACTGGTTGGATAATTTGGATTGCCATGGAAACGAAAGTCATATATTTAATTGCACGTCAAATCCATTTGGAGAAAATAATTGTAACGTGAACCAAGCCGTTGGTTTATTTTGTTGTAAGTACATACATTTGATTTAAACTTTGTTTTTCTGTTTGTTTTACTTTTTCTTTGCCTATCCATATGTTCAAGTTCAAAATATACATCATCGTTTATTGAACATGTCTCATAAAAAGCCATATTATATATATTTCTTTAGGTCATTCAAGATGTACTTGTATATCCATTTCTTTAGTATTTTACCAGATATTGCAACTCGGAAATCAAAACGCTTTCACATTGAATATAAATGAACATAAGTTAACTGTTTATTTATAAGAACCTTTTATAAATTGATTTTGAAAACTGTGTTATAAATCAAGGTTTAAAATTTTCTCTTATTGTTATATACATAAATGTATCTTTTCCAGCTGGCCAAAAGGAACTTGATTGTGAAAATCAAAAACCTTGCATTTCAAGTATAAATTGCTCATTTGAATCGGACGATTGCTGTTATGGGTTCATTTCTCCAGAAATAGAAGGGAAAGGAACTACTCCTTGGGTCAGATATAACGCAGGGCAGATAACTCTAAAAGATCATACAACACAACACGAGTCTGGTGTGTCCAATTGTTACAATTGTTTCTGGTTTTTTTTTATATATAACAAAATCATGTTTGAAATAAATGAAAGATACTGATAAGATAAAATGATTGCATTTGCAAAGTGAACCAAATATATCCGAGCTATAAATAGTGGTTGAGCATTTGTTTTAAAACCAGTATGAATAATAATATTATCGCTTTGAATTTTACAAGATCAAATGCCGATTGGTATTAGTTATCGTACTCATCAGGTTATATAGCAGTTTTGACAGTAAATCGTTTTCTTTATGTGTTTTGTTTTGTGTTAAACTTGCAAAATATCTACCTGTCAATCAACGGAAATGTATTCTCTTTCATGATTATGTAAAACAGTTTGGACATATGAAATATTAAATATTGCAGGTTACATTGCATATTACCAAAACATTTATGGGAACAAGAACGACTTTGCCTATCTAGATCTACCAAATATTACACTTCAAGATCATAATCAAAAACTAGAATTTTACTATTTGATAACATCTAATTGTGCAAATGCGTTGTCGCTTAACCTTGTCAATGCTGAAAATAAAGTAACAAATGTTTGGAAACCAACGCCTGTAACCAAGGAGATAGAAGGGATGTGGATCTATGGTTGTTTTGATATAGAACAACATCAAGACAAAGAAAATGGTGATGACAAGTAACAGTTTATTACATACATTTAAGCAATGCTTTTGTTATAAAAGTTTGTTACAATTAAAGTTATATTTAAATATTGAACAATTTAAGTATAAGAGTACCTTATCCGTTAATAGATTTATTTGTAATATATTTATATACGAAATCAATATATATAAGATAAAGTATTGATTTAACAAACCTAAATGATGACAAAGTAAAATTTAAATTGTAAAACATAACCCGAATTAAAAAATAGATCTCTGCTAAATGTCAGATTTTTTAACAATATGTTTTTCTTCCCATTATATACCTTTTAATAGCTACTCTGAGATTTATTGCTCATCGTGGACCTCTTTCAACTCGACTTATTGCGTTGGACGATGTCAGCTTATCAAAAGGATCATGTCAAGGTAAGTTCGTGTGTCTGATACAATTTTTTTGTGAATAAATAAACAAATTTTATCTATCTATTTGTTCTAGACAACATTTCTTATTCCACATTTTAAACAATACCATGAAAACATATACTCGTGTAATCAAAAAGAAAACTTTATAATTTAGAATTATAAAGAATGTTTTTAAATATATCTATCATTAATGTTATAGATATCTCAAACAAAAGATGTGATTTTGGTGACATCGGTACGTGCAATGCTAGGATCATTTGCAACAACTGCGATCAGGTTTACTCTTTCTTTCAGTCTAAGTCATGATTTTGTCTGCAACTTTTCTAGTTGATAAATGACCTTACACAGACGTTTGCGGTATTGTATTTTAAAATTTACCCGCGAAAACTGTGAGTCTGGCCTCGATTGTTACTTTTCCTTCTTCCTGCTGAATTTATGTGAAGGTTAGGCCATAATTTATTTCTGAAGTCTATTTGAAGATTTCAATATCAAACTTTAAATATTTAGCTACTTACAGTAAATATTTGAAAATATGATGGTCATGATTATAATGTAAATTAGCTAAACCATAGAACATAGAACTTCTGGTCATTGTGCTTTTAAATGTATTGGAAACTTAATATTTCTCTCATGAAATAACTATTTACCACTATTTATTGTGATTTAGGAATACAGATGGAAATGGACCGATGGCACGCTTGTTGATGAAGATAATGAAATGTCAAACGGTAAACATAATAGATATAATAGTTTAAAAAAGAAGAGTAAATTGAAGTATCTTTAACAAAAAGATGTAAAAACCTTAAAGTAAATAATGTAAAAAATCTGCCGTGGTAACATACATATAAGATATGAAACCGGAGAAATGTGTCATGACAAATGATATTTCACTATTACTTGTTTAATCTGCATATAAACCATTGAAACTGTAAAAAACGTTTTATCGTGCACACAACCAATGGAATAATTTAGACGAACCATGCGTACTTTAAATTCAAATTGCAGGTGTCGATTTTTCCTTGTACAGTTTATGTATGGCAAAAGTTAGATTATAAATAGCTTAATAGATTTTCTTATAGAGTATTTGTAACAAGAGCTTTACTCCTTATGCTTAAGTTAACAATGCAGTCAAATTATGATTTGGGATCTTTTTATTTGAAGAAACGGAATTCTACATGTTGGCGGACGCGTCGTATGGGCGACCTGGAAATATCGCAAGACTGGAATTTCATGTCACAGGAAATGTGATGGGCAAACATGGCCTTCGGTTCAAACACAGATATTTTGGTAACCTCGAGAATGACGAAGAAAGCACAAGTCTAAATGTAAGATCCTAATTTTGTGTCGCCTCTACAGAGAAGATTTTTATTTTTAAAGTTTGTCCATATTACTTTCTTTTTATACCACTGACGCAATTTAAATGAAACTTTACAGGATTGATATGTAGCTCAATACGTTGGGCATATTACACGGATTTTTAGCTTGAATGGTTTCCAGCTGACTTATGACCCTTGAATAAAACAGGTGTTATGGCTTGGTAATGATCTTGTGTTGCCGGCTACACGGAAGCTTGTCCGGACTACCCTTTTATAAACTACTGGTGTTATTTTATCCAAACTTTACAGGATTGGTCAGTACCTCAAGTACCTGCGCATATCTAACGGCGTTTTCGGTTGAGTTATGGCCCTTGAATAAAAATCCCGTTTTGGCTTATTAATGACTTTTGTGTCTTCTGCAACACAGTACATGCAACATGCAATTGAATAGGCGACACATGTGATCACTGATCACTCTTGTCTTATATCATAGAAATATACAAATCCAATTTCGTGTTCGATATAGATAACTGAGTATTTCTCTTGAAATAATTGTCACGTATCGTTACAGGTGCTGATAAATTCTGATGATCCTATTGTTTTATGGCAACGGACACTCTCAAAAACGAGAAATAAATGGCAAATATCATGTGTTGACATAAAAGATGTAAATGAAGACGCCATAATTACATTTGAAGCTATACGCGGAAATGACGTATTTGGTGACGTTGCTCTTGATGATGTAGAATTAATCGATTTTTGTCCACGTACGGTTTTATATGCAGATTAAGTTCAATTCATCTTGCATATTTTTTCCCCTTTGATACATGAATATTTCTTCTGCTGCAGAAATAATATGCTTGTTCTTAAAGAGTCAAGCAGCCTGCATGCCAGTTTTGTATTTTGCTGATATCATTTCTTATATTTTGTTATTGATAACATAATAATAGCGTAACCTAATAATTCCGTGGGACTATTCATTTCTTAAAACTGGAAAATCCAGCAGACTAAAGACTTACTGTAATTTATGAAATGAATGAAACTTCATGCTAAAGAATGAGAACAAAGATCTTCAAGGCAAGGCGACGTTAACAGACGGCCCGCCACAACCTATCAATACTTGCCGGACACCCAGAAGGCACCGAACAACAAACGGGAGAGGACAAAAGGATGGTGAAAAGAGCTGAGGGACATGTTACAAGTAAAATGATGTTAAAATCTTGAAAACAAATGAGATAATGTAAAAATATGGCTATTAATTGTGCGTAAAACACTTTGCATTTAATTATATTTTGTATGTAGTTCCAGGAAGTTGTGACTTTGAGGAAGAACTGTGTGGTTATGAGGTTGAAGCGTTCGACGCAGATCATTATTATTGGGACATAAGCCAGAATGAAGGTACGGTACGCTCGACAATATAATGTTTCTTCTGAACCTTATATAGCACCTTTGTACGTTCGCCTCCTAAAAGCTAAGAGCTCTCAAAAGAAAAGAAATAAAACATAATTAAAATAGAGTGAAATAAGAATCCCTAAAGAAAGCCCAACCTGGCAAAAATGATGATCTTTTAAACAATGATCTCTTAAGAATTTAATCGTATGGTGTAGGTGCTTATTCGTGTGTCGGAAAAGCGAAATAAAATTCATACTTAATTTTAGTTATTTAAATTCCATTAAATACTAATACGTATTGCATGCAATAAATGAATAAATGAATAAATAAATAATTGAAAGGAACATACACAAGTATTAAAATACACTCATTATAATATTCCCAATGAGAAATAAATTTAAAAAAAAAAACATATTTTTTAATTTTTAATATTTGAATGTGGTCACTTTATTTGTTTCGTTTTGAATTTCCCTTGCCCTTTTACGGCTTCATTTTCAACAAAAATGAGTCATGAAGCTGTTGGGGGTGGGACACAGTAAATAGTATTTCAAATTCTGTTTCCTCCATGAGATGGATCATAGCTCAAATAAAATCTGCACATGAGAATATGCCATATGTGGTTTTAAAATTGAAAGCTTATGCCTCTAAAGCTAGTGTAAAGTTAGTAATGATTCACGTATATTAAGAGGCCATAATTAGTGAGTTTCGTTTTTAAGTCAATAGTAGTAACTTTAAACAATTAATCACTTTAATTGCAGAACATGATGGGATTTTAACACAAATGTCAGGGAATTTCATTCATCTTCATGACAACTCAGCTTCATATGGTTCCTGGTCAAAATTTGTCTCGCCTGTCTTCAACATTACAAGCACGCCGTATAAACTGACATTCCAACTGTCAAAATTTGGGTCTGGCGAATTTCAGGTATATAATAATATAAGATCATTTGTCAGTATGATAGCAATAAATAGAAATTTAAAGTCATGTAGTATAATATGTAAAAGAGATGTTTACAAGAAAAAAAACCCAAATGATTTTAATATGTTATCTATTCTAGTTTAAAACGTTATAAAATGTCTATAATACCTCGATTGTACTAAAGTCTCTAACTAGTAATATGGTTACGATTCCCTTTGATTCACTGGTGTTGTTTTCGATCAATCTCAGCGCCTTACCAATATCATTTTCTTCAATCAAAATATTAGTCTTGAATTTTTTAGATCTATACTGTCAGCAATGAAGTCAGATACGATTTTAACGTGGACTTTTTACCTTTGACTGGAAATACTGCTGGTACAGAAAATATTTGTATTAATCTGGAAGAACAAGATTTAGAAAATGTACAGCTAGTGTTTGAAGCAGTTAAAGGAAGCGGTTGGAACGCGCAGTCGGATAAAAGTGAAAGTATATCAATCGATAATATCGAAATAGCTGCCGGTGAATGCCAAGGTGTGAAACTTTTAAGCATCTTATTTATTTTTAAGAATCATTTATTGTATTTTATTGTAAAACAGGGTTAAATCTATGTTTTCTGTTGTCATTGAAAATGATGTAATAACACTTTTATTATTGTAAATAATAGAATAGTAAAGAACGTGGAATACCTGGCCGAGTTGTTAAGGTCACTTATTTCAAACCACTTGCCTTTCACCATCATGGAGTTTAATCCTTTCAGGGTATTCGTATTCTTTAATGTGAAGAAGCTACCAAGGTGGAAAAAAATCAACAGAAATAGAAGAAAACAAAACAAAATAAATAGAAGTTAATGTTGTCAAATAATAACATTGTTATCCCTGTGAAGTGTTCAACTCAAATGAGATGCATAAAATATTTGACTTTTTAACAGATGTTTATTACTAGCGTGGTAAAAATGACTTTAGTTACACAAGTGTCTTTGTTTTTTAATTTTCATATTAGTACAAAGCACATGCACATTCGAAGCAGATCACCGATCGTGTGATTATAAGACATTCAGTATTCGAGGAAATGACGCTTTAAACTGTGCGTCTGAATACAAGTGGAGGAGACGTGGCGCGAATATTTCTGATAGTTTCGTCGAAGACTTGACATTTGGAAATAAAACAGGTACATGAAGTATGATGTGACCATATAAATGCAAAATATACATAATATAAAATAAAATAATAATAAAATAATCAATAGTTAGTACTTAATGCTATGTCGATTGCATATAGATAGGATGGACATTGTATTTTTATGATGACTGATTTACCTTTTTTATTCATGAAGTAAATTTTGCGACAAAGCAACCTTTTACATCACAGTCAATACTTTCATTGCAGGCCATTACCTTGCAGTATCAACTGCACATGGTGACAAAAACTCTACAGCTATTGTTAGTTTTAGTTTGAGGAATACAGGAGGCGCACAAGATATGCACGTGGTTTTGTTCACAAGAATAGTAAATCATTTAAAGGACGGATCGAGTGAGTAAAACTTCGTTCATAATACTTTTCCTAGATTTAAAAACGTTAAACATAGATTCGTGCAATTTCAGCAAAACTTAACTTATAAATATGTTTTTGTATTGTATAAAGGGCTACACGTTTCCTTAGTAGGTAGAGGTTTTGGTTGTAAGTATGCTTTGTTTTGATGTGATATTTCACGTTTTAGGTATGAGGCTTATTGTTAATGATACAGACATTGACCCCATCAAAGACTTCACTATTATCGATGTATGGAAACCAGTTTGTCTCAATGTTCTCACGGAAGCCAATGAAACTATTGTTGTTAACGTAACAGCCAATCAGATTGATGCTGCCATAGACAATGTTTCACTTGAACCGGGAAAATGTCATTGTAAGTAAAGCTTCAAATTAAGATACAAACATGCCCATTTTATAACCAATTAACAAAAGAAAAAACATAAATCAGTCGAGAAATCAAGTTATAACATTTGAGCCGCGTCATGACAAAACCAACATAGTGCGTTTGCGACCAGCATGGATCGAGACCATTTAATTTCCGCGTCCATTATATCATTTACATAATCTACATCTTTAGATAAGGGATCTTTTGAAAAAAAGTTACAAAAAAGATCGTCGATTTTGTAAACTCATTATATTCACGCAATTTAAAAGAACTTGTCAATAAATTATTCTGCAGTCACTCTAATCATATAACCTGTTTTTATACATAAACGTTAAACAAGTCTTCAGGAAACGTTATTTTCTCTCTTTAATTCACAACACCTTATGATAACATCAGAAACAGACTGCCCACAATCCCTTGATTGTATTATTGTAACTTGCTTCAAGCAATAATGCAATATGTATGTTTTTCTTTAATAATCTAGTACAATCTGAGAGCTGTGTGTTTCAAGATCAGTTTATGTGCGGATACATGATCGGCACCGGTGGACAATTTTATAATTCATGGAACGGTAGGAAGTTTTCTTATTGCAAACTAAACATATTTGAATATTAAAATATTCACCTGAGACATATTTTGTATCTAATAAGCAAAGATTTATGACACTTTTTAATGGTTTTATGTTGTTGACATAACGATAACATCTTAAAATTGCTACATTTTAAAAGGTTTTTAAGTAGCCTAGCTTTTACATATGACGTCTTTATGACATGTTCCTATTTCAAATTTAAAAAAAGTAAACAAGGCTTAACAGTTATAGGAAAGAAAAGAAAAAAAAACGTTTCAGTATATGTAATAGCTAAATTCCCGGAAATTCCTTGTTATTTTTATTTATGTTTCTCATGTTTTAGAATTATTCAGTAATGCTTTTACATAAAATTAGAGCTACTGCTTAAAAATACTTTGCTCTCAAATAGGTCGAATATTAAGAAGAAATGTGTCTGAAGCATTTCAGCCAAAATTTCTTCTATAATTTCAGAGAGTTTAGTTCGATTGTCAAAAACAGGGGCGGCATTCTCCTCACCTAGCTTCGGAATAGATTCATCACTTTGCATATCAGTAGAAGTTAGGAGATCCACAAGAAACACGGTAGAAAATAAATCATATTTGGAAATATCCTTGGTCAACGTTCTAGATGGATCATCCTTGCCCCTAAGAAATAGTCGCTTTCCAATTATATATGAAACATGGAGAGATTTACAATACTTTCAGGTAATAAGATATGTGATAGTGCAGTTATAGTACTAACCTTACAATAAAAAATAGTAAACAAATATCGAGTGTCAAGTGTAAAAAATGTTTTATTTCCTTTTCTATAATAAATTATACGGTAACAAACGATCCGCGCCTAGTCACCTAGTCCTCGATATGTTTAATTGATTTTCATTGTGTACTACGTGTTTATAATAGTTTTCTCTCAAATAGCATTTTTTCTTTTATTTTTATTTATCTTATTCTTAATTAACTTAAGTAAAACAATATTTTGAAATTGTGAGAAAAGCTATCTACATGTTGTTTCTGCATTTATACCCATCTTTTGACATACTTTCCGTTAAACAAATGACTTCTTTAGGATACATGTACTTCGTTTTCGGAATTGCGATGAATTCATATCTTGATTCGAATTTATTTTCGTTGTAGGCGTCTATACCTTCGGCAAAATACCGACTTATATTTGCTGCGAACATGGGCGATCAGGAGGGTATAGATATAAAATCTGTCAACATCAATGGTAGTAATTGTAGATCTCTAGGTATGTTAAACATCGTCTTTAACAATATGTTAAATAAGTCGTTCAGAAGTTCAGAAATTACAACAACAAAAAACCATTATAAATAAGGTTTCACTTTCTTTTGGTTTAGTTCAGTCACTTTTAAAGCAACATTGAGTCACATTTAGTAAGTTTGATAAAATTTGTTTCTTGATGATACAGTTAAGGTTCAATATTACTACAAAAATTATTAGTGTTACAACCATATTCCCCGATAATTTTCGTATAATACAGTAACTGCAAACTACTAGTAACTAGTAACTACTAGTATAAAATGAACATTCTGTTACGAACATCTTATTAAAATGTATTTATAAAATATTCTTACAAACCACTTTTATAACGTTTTGTGAAATGTCATTGATGATATTATTAGAATGTCCGGACGAGAACGATGTTATTTGTGATGAGGAGGGACTTATGTTTTGCATGCCGTTAACCGATGCTTGCAAGCACCAAAACCTTTGCTCAACTGTGACGTCCTCAATATGTTGTAAGTGTATTCATCATCATCATCTCCTTCTTCGTCGTCGTCGTCATCATCATCATAATCATTAATTTCACAAAGGAAACTCATTCTTGAAAAAATACAATGTTAAAACAGCTTAGACATAACTGAAGTGAATATACTATCAATATTTTTGTATAACAAATATGTCAAGTTTTAAAATCGATTTGACGATTTCTTTAATTAGAATATTTTGTACTGAAGAAATATTTGGAACGGACCAGTCGTATTCACGAAAAAGCAAAATTTAAGAAAGATTGGAACTATCTTGGAACTACATTGCTATGTGTTATGAAATCTAAATGAAATGCATTATCGACTATAACTATTCCACTATTAATAATAATTAAGAATCTTCAACTTTTAGTCACTTTTAAAGAAGTAATTTTCATAGTATGAACATGTAAAAAGAGTTGGCCGCCTAACACGACAAAAATTATATCTTGATTTGATTTTATCTGTTTACAAATGGCAGTAGTTGCAAGCTACAGTCTAGATCATAGTATCGACAATTAAATCGTATGTTGAAATTGTTTTACAGCTACTATTGATTGTGATTTTGATGACAATTATTCATGCGGATGGAAACTAGACAACGCTGAAGTCCGAAGTATGTACAATGAAATTTCTTTGATACTTGTTCTTCCTCAAAAGTGAATCATAATAGTTATACAACAGTTACGTAATCCTCCATTTGGTTGACGTATATAGTATTTACCTTTTACTTACTAATAAATTTTTAACATGTGGCTAAATGATGTCGTGTACTGCGTTTAGTGAACGTTGTCTTCCGTTTTGTTCTTGTGCGTACATTCCGTTTTGACATTTATCTGTAGCACCAAATATTTCTATATGCATCTTTTCTCCGTTTTAAAATGAACACTATCAACAATACTTATAATTGTAACATGTTAATGTTATAGATGATATATCTTGTTTTTTTTCTATTTTAGACAGCACGTTGACTCTCGGAGACCAAATGTTGACTTTCGCAGAAACACCCGTGATGCATGTAGATACCGACACCTGCATGTCATTTACACTAATGACAGACTTCAATGACAATGCATTAAGAATAATCAAAAACTCGTCAGGCTCTCTCGAAGAGATGAATAATTTCCATCAGTTAAAGGCACAAGGACATGTTCAGGAAATAAAAGTGGACTTGCCAGTTGGGAGCTACAGTATTATCTTTGAAGCACGACATAACAGGGAGGTTGCTGCACATCTGTATATAGACAATGTTAATATGTCTCGGGAAGTGTGCACAAAAAGTAAGATGCTTTTAGGAAATATTTATATATTATGCTATTTTCATATGTTTCTTTCAAACATAATTTTATTCCTTTTCCAAAGAAAAATGACATTTTCAGTTACTTTTTGTTTATTTAGGAATTAATTTCAGCTTTGTAATCTTATATAAATTATACTGATGGACATATTTGTAAAAATACTGTTGTGTATAGTATATTTGAGTGAATGCACATATCAATGTTAAAGCATTTGTAACAAGTTTATAGCATCTATGGTCCACAATAACATTCTTTTCGTATTGTAGCCCAATGCCCGGGAAGCACGTGTAGTTTTATAGATGGAAATGGAAAAGTGAACGTCATATGTTTACAAGATGATGTCTTTTGTGACAAGTTTGTAGACTGCCCGTCTGAGAACGATGAGGAAAATTGTGGTTTGTAAATTTCAAAAGATGTATGAATTTATTAATACATTTATCAATTTATCAAAAATACTTGTTTTGTTTGCTTTTTAAATGTACCTTTCTTATATTAGTATGCGTTCTCAAATTAATTTTTGTATGTTTTTATGATATAGGAGTAATAAAATGGTATACACCATCTTTAGATTTGTTTCATATTTTTCATTGGTTAACAACATGTTTAAATTGCTGTTGTCACCTGTATATTTGTATGCAGATTACTCATTTGATTGCGACTTTGATACAAATTTATGCGGATATGACTTATCGGACACACTGGATCATGTACATACACCGTACAGGGTTGCTGGCACTGATATGATGATACCCTCTATAGGCGGCTCGCGAAATGGTTTGTCATTTTATTTTATACAACTTCTTTGTGATATACATATTGTTAATGCCTTGTCTTTCAATTAAGACATAAGGGGTGAAGCGGTGGCCTAGTGGTTAAGGTTGCCTCATAAACCAGGGATCATAGGCTCTAGTTCTACTCGTGTCACGATTAAAATATCGTAACTCTGCCTTGTCTAGTGATGGAGTTATTGCCCTTTGTTAATCATTATACTTAAAACTTTGTCCAGTATATAACACTGAAATCACATCAGGTATCAACAAGACACTGTGTAGGTAGATAGATCTCATTAGTTAGAAGTACAATGCATAATAATGGTAACTCTGCCTTGCCTTATTTAGAAGTAACTGCTGTTTTCAATTTTACACTGTGAACATTGTAACTCTGCCTTGCCTTATTTAGAATTTCAATTTTACACTGTGAACATTGTCCGAGATATAACTCAGAAACTACAAGAGATGTCGTCACGATACTACTTCTCTGCGTCTAAAATCTATTCGGGGAGCATCATCCGGTTCTTGTTTACCAAGAATTCAGCAAAAGAGTGTTATTCTTAGTAACAGTTCGAAAAGGAAAAGTCAGACTTATGTAGAGTTGGACTTATTACAGCGTGATTTTTATTTTGGCTAGTTTTCATATTTCAATACATTTGACCCTAATGAAGTGTCATTGTTTATCAGAGGTGTACATATCGCGTATATGTAGATATATATCGCGTATATGTATGAATATGTAAAGTAGTGTTGCACGTTTTGTGTGAGATACGATTTTCTAACATTTACGCATGTTCTACATGTACAACCCATTACCCTCTCACTGCTGTGGGTTTGGAACCTGGAAGGTACATTTTAAGGAAGCTATCAAGCAAGCTTAGGGAACGTCAGTGGTTTGAGTTGGGTGTGTGTTCTTGCAGAAATAAAGAGGGTACAATGAGAACTTCATCCGCAAATAAAACGTGTAAGTCGCCATAAGTCCTTTTTAAGTGTTGATGCGACGTAAAAGACAACCAGATATTCTATGAAACACATATTCAAATATCTAGTTTTTTTGATTATATGGTTTATTCTAATTTACTTTGCAGATTTTGTGCTTTTGTATAATTCTGCGAATGCTGACAAGGCAGAAATTACAAGTGGACCACTTTTTCTTTCACAAGACATATGTGATATAGAATTGGACGTGTTTTGTCAGACAGATCCTTCAGTTAACGCATCGGAAACATCGGCTTCTATGGTTATTATCACTCGAGATTTATATAGAAACCCATCTCATTATGAGGTTAATATAAATATGCAATCGGAATGGACAAAGTTGACTGTACCAGTTAAAGACTTGTTCTGGTAAGTTTTTATTTCGTTTTGTTGCGCTCATCTAAAAATTAGATATTTACTTCTGTAAACTAGGTTCAATTGTATTGAAAATGCCTAAGATTTAAAAAACACTGTCTATTTTTTTATATACAGTTGTATTCTTAGTTGATCTATTCATTAACTTTACTTTTGAATGGATAAAAATTAGATTTTACGTGTTTAATTTTTTTCCTGTTTATGATGGTATCAGTACAAATTAACTCGTTCATCATGAAGTAGGTGCGAAGTTTAAATTGAAGATAATTTTTTAGGGGAAACAATGATCCAGTAGGACGATATGTGCCGACTGTTCAGTTTTCTGGATCTGGTGTTATTATAGCGATTGATAACATTAATGTCGTCAGCTGTCAGGGTAAGCAGGGCTTTATTGTAAATTTTAGTAGACCACATTGAAGGTATGGAATTAAAATAAGTGCAACTGATATTTATATTGACAGTGGAATGATTGTATATCTTAGCTTTACTTTAAGTAGAAAAATATCTTAGCTTTACTTTAAGTGGGGGCAGTATCAATACATATAGTGCAAGAGAGCTATTGAAATATAGATCAATGCCCAGACAATGGATTTTACCTGATCAGCAATTATTGGCAAGATTAAAAGGTTTGGGTATTTTGAACTTTAGAAGTTATAGATCTGGAACCAAAACATCCAAAAATAAGAAACCACAAAAGAAACAATTTGGTGTGAATATCTCAAACCTAGTATACCCAAAGCGACAAAATGACCTTAGTAATTTCAGAGAAAATGTGACATGTTTAACATTAAATTGCCATTCAGTAGTCAACAAAGATGTACTAGTCGGACAATTGCTTCGTGAGGACAATATTGACTTTGCGCTTTTGACGGAAACGTGGTATTCAGATGACAAACAATCTCACTTTGAAACATCAGATTTAAACCAAAATGGTTATAAACTCAGTGTTGCAAACCGTAAAAATCGTGTTGGCGGCGGTATTGCTTTGACATGTAAAAGTACCATCAATATGCGGAAAAAGGAATCCGGCGCGACCCAAACTTTTGAGTACGGAATATGGCAATTGGTTTTCAAAAACATTACCATAAATTGTGTAGGAATTTATAGACCTCCATCATTAGCTACTCCTCTGCAATTTGTGAAAGACTTCTTTGAATTTATGGAGGACATTGTTTCAAAATATCAAAACCTCTTGACAATGGGGGATTTCAATCTTCATATACACGACGACACCGGTGCTATTTCAGAATTTAATAAACTGTTTGTGTGCTATGGGATTAGAACAACATGTACATTTCCCCACACAAGTGTTCGGTCAAAGTCTCGATCTTGTTGATCACAGAGGTCGCAAATGGTGTTGAGCTAGTCTCATGTGAACCTGGTCCATTTCTTTCAGACCATCGTGTAGTGAAAGTCGTCACAAAAGTGAAAAAAAGAGAACATTATCAGCAAATCCATCATATACAGAAACTTTAAAGATATTGATCGCTCAGAATTTGCCAGTGATATTACAAATATAAAAATTGAAAGTGAATCAATTACTGAATATGTGGAACTTTTCGAATCCGAAATGAAAGCTATCGTTGATAAACATGCACCTGAAATTGAAAAAAAACAGTTATATATGTCGAAATCCGAAGCCATGGTTTACTGAGAGTATAAAACACTCAAAGAGTATTCTGCGCAAATCTGAGCGCATGTGGAGAAAACACAAAAATCCAAATGATTTTGAATTCTTCAAAAATGCAAGGAATAAATACAATTATGAACTAAATCTTGAAAAGAAACGCAAACTTAGTCAAAAAGTGCTCGCATTCAAGGGAGATTCCAAGAAACTCTACAACTTCGTGACTGATCTCACCGGCGGAAAGTCCGAAAATCCAATGCCAACCGTCGAAAACGAAAACAGTTTAGCTGATAAATTTGCAGATTTTTTCATGAACAAAATTGAGACAATACGAGACAACCTTAAACATCATAAGAAACTATGAACCATTGCCAAAAGATGTACCGAAATTCGAGGAATTTGGAACATTAAGTGAAAATGATGTGAAAAAAATAATTAATTCCATGCAAACAAAATCATGCGAAATTGACGTTTTGCCAACGAAAGTGTTGAAGTCATTTGTGACTGAACTGCTTCCCATCATTACCACACTAGTGAATCTTTCGTTGTCGCAAGGTGACTTTCCACCAAATTGGAAACAGGCAATAGTTAGACCATTGTTGAAAAAACTTGGACTCGAACTCATTTTTTCTAACTACAGACCAGTGAGCAACCTACCATTTCTGTCAAAATTAATTGAAAAGGCAGCATTGTTCTATCTTAACAAACATGCAAATGAACACAATCTCCTTCCCAAGAACCAATCAGCGTACCGACAGCATCATTCGTGTGAATCAGCATTACTTCGTCTTGTAAATGACATTCTTCGCTGCATGGAAAATCAAGAAGTAACTGCGTTAATAGCACTGGACTTAAGTGCAGCGTTCGATACCGTCGATCACGACATTCTTCTCGACGTTCTCAATCGTCAGTATGGTATCTGTGGAGTTGCACTCGACTGTGGTTGGACTCGTACCTGCGACCCAGGAGTTGTCGCGTAAGTGTGAACAATATAATGTCGTCAGCGCGTGATCTTACGTGCAGTGTCCCCCAAGGAAGCTGTTTAGGGCCGTGGCTCTACCTCGCGTATGCAGGGACCATATTTGACATTGTTACCCCTACCATCTCCGTGTACGGCTTCGCTGACGATCATACTGCCAGCAAATGTTTCAAACCTACACCCGCTCTCGAGGCCGAATCCATTGCGGAACTAGAAGAGTTCGCAAACACAAGCAAATGATTGGATGAACAGTAATAAATTAAAAATGAATTCTTCAAAAACTGAACACATAATTTTCGGAAGTGCTCCTCAGTTGCGTAAACTGTCTAAAGATGAAATTAACATGCTGTGGTGATAAGATCAAACGACAAAATACGATCAGATATTTAGGGGCATATTTGGACGAAAATCTGACTTTCAAACATCACATCAAGATAAAGTGTCGAACAGCTATGTTGAGCTTTTTTCGCATAAAAAATATTCGCAAATTCCTCACACAAGATGCAACAGAAACTCTTGTACTCCCACTTGTTATTTCTCACTTAGACTATTGCAACGTGATTCTGTATGGTATTTCAAACTGTGATATTGCAAAACTACAGCGAATTCAAAACATGTGTGCCAAACTAGTATTGAATCGTAGGAAAAGTGACAGTTCTAAGCAGGCGCTATACGATCTACACTGGCTGCCCATCAAGGCCAGAATACAATTCAAGATTCTTGTATATATGTACAACTGTCACGTTGGAAATGCACCAACTTATTTGACCGATCTGCTTACACCTAAAGTTCAAAAAACGTTCTCTGAGATCATCATCATTTTCAGTTGACAGTTATGAAGTGCCTTTTAATAAGTGTAAAACTTTCAGTGACAGAAGTTTCAGTACAATCGGCCCGAAACTCTGGAATGATCTTCCATTAAATATCAGACAATGCTCATCAGTTGATAGTTTCAAGAAACACTTGAAGACTCACTTCTTCAGAGACTATTTTAATCTTTTTTAGTCAAAGTGTAGAAACTAAGAGACAATATTTTTCTGCGCATTAACTCTGTGATGAATATCTGATTTTACAATGTGTTTATTATCCAAGTAACATTTGCATGTCTTTTACCATGTCCTTTAATAATATAGCCATATTTTTAATTATTTTAAATAATATTACTTTCTTTTATTTGTGATACCATGTTTTAGATTTTAGATTCAGAATTAATTGTTTTATTATTCTTAAACTACATTTATTTATTACTTTTAATGTTCTGATGTGATATTGTACAACGCCATTGAATATGTATTATATGTAGAAATAGGCGTTTAAGCAAATAAAACAGTTTCAGTTTCAGTTTCAGAAAAGAGATTAAGTAGCCTCCATTTTAAATATCTGATTTAGTTTTTAATCAATTACAAAAATAAGCATTGTCATTATGACTTAAATGAACTGATCGTTTATGTAAGTGTTGATATATTTAATTTTGCTTGTTCTTCCAATTATTATATACATATACATTTAGATGTACATACCGCTTAATCGTGAAAGACATTTGAACAGAAAGCCAACTTTGTTGTTTTCTTTCATTTGTTTTATTTTTCCTGTTTTTACATTGCTTTTGAATGCTTTCCCTTTCCATAATCGTTTGTTTGTTTAAAAATTAACGCTAACGTTTTCATATAGACTTGTTTGGAATAATCTGGTAAGTGTAAGGACTGTGTGTCTCTAAATGCGTGTTTGACTTTAAAGAGACTTAAAAAAAATATTAGAATGTATTTATAGTTTGTCAATAAACATGTTTTTTTTTTGTTCAATATAAAACAAACTGTTGTGTTTTGTTTATAAATGTATAAATGCGTATTTCAGAAAAGAAGAACACAACTCAGATATCTAGTATCTCCGCACAATTGTCAGAAACCGAAGTACAACTGCCAGGTTAGGAATGATTTGTTTGTCCAATGTCACTCAATTCCATATTCTTACTCTTTGTAAACAAACATATTATGTCTGATAAAGCATTTTTTTCATTTTTGTAATATATACTTTTTTTAGAAAACATAACCTTTCATAATGTAAAACCGTGTATTAAAGTTTGTTTCTATTTTTCAGAAGGTTTTCCAAACTTGGTTATTTTAGAGAACGCAGTAACAGTGCAAATATTGGAGCCAATTTATTTTTTGCTTTGCTGATAAATAATGAAGCCGAATATGAGGTTAGCTAAAAAATCTAAACACCTTGTTAACAATAATGACTGCTGTTGCATGTTTTAAATTATGTTCATACAAGACTCTTGTTATTTTTATTTTAAATTTTAATTGAAGAGTTTCTATGGCTTGGGCCCCCAAAAGTGAATAAATTTTCTTCATTCCTATTTTGTCCAAATGGTTTGCGTTTGAACCTTAAT